CCTAAAGCACATTTAAACCCAGCAAATGTCATATATTATTATTATTATACAGGATTTATATAGCGCCAACAGTTTGCTCAGCGCTTTACAATATAAAGGGAGACAATAAAGCAACAATACAGTTCAATACAATAGGGATAGGAGGGCCCTGATCCTGGGAGCTTACAATCTAAGAGCAGCTTAACAGTCCTTAGATCTACTAGCTCAGGGCTTGAAAAAGCCACTCGCCAAATGCAAGGAGAAATTCCTCTGTGGCGAGCGGCGAGCAGCGAGCACAGATGAAGCATGGAGCGACTGCACCTGCGCTCCAAGCCTCATTGTGAAGCTGAGTTTCGGTTTACAACTTCCGGTTTCCGGCTTCTGCGGCACCGCCTCTGAGGGGACAGGTGCAGGAGAGGTTCGCTCTCCCGCTGAGAGGAGACACCCTCTCCACCGCTGCGAAGGACTCAGGGGGACTAGGAGTAAGTACTGTATACATGTCATATCACTATAATAGAGTACAGGGGAGCTGGATATACATTACTGTATACATGTCATATCACTATAATGGAGTACAGGGGAGGGGGATATACATTACTGTATACACGTCATATCACTATAATGGAGTACAGGGGAGGGGGATATACATTACTGTATACATGTCATATCACTATAATGGAGTACAGGGGAGGGGATATATATTACTGTATACATGTCATATCACTATAATGGAGTACAGGGGAGGGGGATATCTGTATACTGTATACATGTGGGATACATACTGTATACATCACTATAATGGAGTACAGGGGAGGGGGATATACATTACTGTATACATGTCATATCACTATAATGGAGTACAGGGGACCTGGGATATACATTACTGTATACACACTATAATGGAGTCATATCACTATAATGGAGTACAGGGGAGGGGGATATACATTACTGGATATACATTACTGTATACACGTCATATCACTATAATGGAGTACAGGGGAGCTGGGATATACATTACTGTATACATGTGATATCACTATAATGGAGTACAGGGGAGCTGGGATATACATACTGTATACATGTGATATCACTATAATGGAGTACAGGGGAGCTGGGGGATATACATTACTGTGTACATGTCATATCACTATAATGGAGTACAGGGGAGCTGGGATATACATTACTGTATACATGTCATATCACTATAATGGAGTACAGGGGAGCTGGGATATACATACTGTATATGTCATACATGTCATATCACTATAATGGAGTACAGGGGAGCTGGGATATACGTTACTGTATACATGTACATGTACATATCACTATAATGGAGTACAGGGGAGCTGTACAGAATGTCCACCAGTCAGTCCCGCTGATCGCCCCTATTACTAGTAAAAATAAAATTAAAAATCCACCATTTGTAGACGCTATAACTTTCACAAAAACCAATTAATTTACACGTATTGATATATTTTTAGCAAAGACAAGTAGCACCATTCATTTTGGCCTAAACATATGAAGAAATTGTATTTTTTTTGTTTTTTTAGGGGTATGTTTTATAGCAAAAAGTAAAAAAAAATAGCTTTTTTTTTTTTTTTTTTAAGTCTTTTAAGTCTTAAATTTATGATGAAATTTATTTTTTTTTTATTTTTTACTGTACATGTTTAATAGCAAAAAGTAAAAAATTTTTTTTTTTCTCAAAATCGTTGGACTTTTTTTTTTATAGCGCAAAAAATAAAAAAACCGCACATGCGATCAACTACCACCGAAAGAAAGCTCAATTTGTGGGGAAAAAAGGGCGCAGATTTTATTTGGGTGCAGCGTTGCATGACCGTGCAATTGTCAGTTAAACTAACGCAGCGCCGTAAAGCAAAAAATGGCCTGGTCAGGAAGGGGGGTAAATCATCAGGAGGGCAAGTGGTTAATACTGGTAAGACTCTTATGATTAGTCTTATTCTGGAGGAAAGTTTTATTCTTTGACTAAACCTGACTAGCGCTTTTGGGTTGGGAATAAAGTAGTAAATATCAATAAATATAAATTTCTCCTGCGCTATTAATAAGTAGTTCACTAAGCAGCCAGCACTCAAGTGCCACAACCTAGGCACAACACACGGTAACAAGCAAATAACAAATAATAGTGCAGCGCTATCAATAGTAAATATCAATCCGACTCTGTACAGTGAGAGTTGGGCTTCCCAGTGTCTGCCCCATGAACTGAAAGAAGGTATGGGTGATGATGCATGGACCCTAACCAGGTTACCTGGAACCTGGAGTCCCTGTGTCATTTCTTTTGAAGCAGCCTGAGGAAGCCTGCCTGTTGACTGTGAAGGCTTGTCCTGAGGGAAAGAGCTCTGCTCCAGGGACCAGGCCTATATCAAAAGAATGAATCCTAAGCTGTAAGATCTTCAACCACTTGAAACTGAGAAGAGCCCAAAAGTTATTGGTAGTGTGACTGCCAGCCTTGTCCCACTAAAAGCAGGCCTTTCATGTTGATTCTGTATCCTGGCACAGTGTTCACTGGACAAACGAGGACTGAGAAATGACTTTCTTCTTCTTATTATTATTATTATTATACAGTATATAGTGCCAAAGGGTTTGCTCAGCGCTGTACATTAGCGAGGGGGACAGAACATGAGACAATACAGTACAATACAATACACGAGGGGTTCGAGGGCCCTGCTCTTTCGAGCTTACAATCTAGGAGGGAGGGGATAGTGGTACAGGAGGAAGTGGCTGTGGGGGATGGAGTGGAAGGAGGAGTGGAGGAGATCGGTTGTTAGCTGAGGGTGGGGTAGGCTTCCCTGAAGAGGTGCGCCTGAAGGTGAGGACGGTAGGTGACTGTCTGATGAATTGGGGTAGGGAGTTCCAGAGGATGGGGGAAGTCCTGGAGAAGTCCTGCAGTCGGGCGTGGGAGGAGGAGACCGGGGAGCTGGAGAGTAGGAGATCTTGTGAGAAGCGAAGATTACGGGTAGGGTGGTATTTGGGTATCAGGTCAGTTAGGTAGTTTGGGGCAGCGTTGTGAATGGCTTTGTATGTCAGAGTTAGTAATTTGAATTTAATGCGTTGGGCAATCGGGAGCCAGTGAAGGGATTGCCAGAGGGGGGTGGCAGATGTGGAGCGGTTGCTGAGGTGGATGAGTCTAGCCGCCGAGTTCAGGATAGACTGGAGTGGGGATAGCGTTTGTTTGGGTAGGCCAGTGAGAAGGGAGTTGCAGTAGTCCAGGCGTGAGATAATGAGGGAATGTAGGAGTTGTTTAGTAATGTCTGGGGTGAGGAATGTACGTATCTTGGAGATTGTGCGGAGGTGGAGCCTGCATGACCTTGATAGTGATGATTGGACATGAGGTTGGAAGGAAAGGTTTGAGTCCAGGGTGACACCCAGGACTTTGGCGTGTGGGGTGGGATTGATGGTGGCGTTGCTAGTCGTGATGGAGAGGATGGGAGGGGCGCGGGGGGCTGGGGGGAAAACTAGGATTTTGGTTTTGGACAGGTTTAACTTGAGGAAATGGAGTGTCATCCAGTCTGATATGTTGTTCAGGAGGTGGGCGATGCGGGCGGAGAGTGAGGGGGTGAGGTGAGGGGTGGAGAGGTAAATTTGTGTGTCATCGGCATAGAGGTGATAGTTGAAGCTGTGGGAGTGTATCAGTTTGCGAAGGGAGGAGGTGTAGATGGAGAAAAGGAAGGGTCCAAGGACAGAGCCTTGGGGGACTCCAGCAGAGAGGGGGGGGGAGAGAGGTGGAGGTGGCAGCGTTATAGGTGACGCTAAAGGAGCGTTGGGATAGGTAGGAGGAGAACTAGGAGTGAGCGGCATCCCTGATGCCAAGGGAGTTCAGTTTAGTAAGGAGGAGGGGGTGGTCGACTGTGTCGAAAGCCGCGGAGAGGTCGAAGAGCAGGAGGACTGAGTAGTGGCCATTAGCTTTGTCAGTTAGCAGGTCGTTAGTGATTTTAAGTAGGGCGGTTTCGGTGGAGTGTAGGGGACGGAAGCCAGACTGTAGTGGGTTTCTTATACACCCTATTTGTGACCCTAGCTCCTTTTCAGCAAATTGCCAATGAGAAAGTCTTAAATTCAATTATTAAAAAAGGGATGATTTTTTTTCCCTATTAACCACTTGCCCTCCTGAAGATTTACCCCTTCATAAACAGACCATTTTTTTCTACATGGCACTGCACTACTTTAACTGACAATTGCGCAGTCATGCAACACTACACAAATGACATTTACATTTTTTTTTCACACAAATAGAGCTTTTTTTTGGTGGCATTTGATCATCACTGGGTTTTTTTCTTGTGCTATAAATGAAAAAAGACTTAAAAACTAAATAAAAAAGCAATTTTTTTTTACTTTTTGCTATAAAACATACCCCATAAAAAATGTAAAAAAATATAATTTCTTCATAAATTTAGGCCAAAATGTATTGTGCTACATGTCTTTGGTAAAACAAAATCCCAATAAGTGTATATTAATTGGTTTAGCTGCATATATACTGGAATTTGTTTTATACTAGTGTAGCCCTGTTTTGGGGGGGGTTATGTGAAATGGCCCACACCAAACAAGCTATGGCGCTAACCTGTATATGAGTAGGCAATCCTGAGCCTTCGCTATATGGAAGAGGGGGTTGTGATAATACAAATGGCAGTGCCTCAACCTAGAATAGGGATCCTGCAATTGAGGAGACTCACCCCTTTCTAGGAATGTAACAGGTAGACAACTTAAAGTAACTATACATAGCAGTATTAATGCACCCAGCTTATATTTCTAACATGAAAACATGTCACCCACACCTGTATGAGAATAATGCAAAGTTTATATAAAGCAGCCACATAAAACAGGATGCATAAGAATAACATTCAGGAATTACAATTTACCATAAATTGGGAGGTTGCAATTAGAGATGAGCGAAGTATTCAAAAATTCGATTCGACTGATTCGGCGAATTCGTGGAAAAATTTTGATTCGAGTCGAATATATTCGCTGTGAATTTAACTTAAAAAAGGGTGTTTCTAGGCTTCAGAGAGACTTAATATTAGTGCAGAACACTGTACCTTTAATTTAAATGCCCTTGGAGTCTGCTGGGGAAGAGAAATAATACTGTCAGTCAGTATGACATGCAGATGAGTGCCGTCGATCTTAGAATCACCGCACACTTCACTCATTTGGGCAGTCACGGGGCCAAAACCAGAGTGTGGAGCCACAGTGTGGCGGTGGAGGCAGCAGCAATGGGAGACCATACAGCACCCTATGACAAAAATGGAAACCACCAGCAGTGTGAGGAGACCTGAAAGTGGCACATGGCAGAGTGTGGCGATAGAGACAGCAGCAATGGGAGGCCGTACAGGGACCCATGACACACTCTGGACCTGGCAGCAGCATGAGGAGGCGGTACAGGGGCCCATGACAGATTACGGGCCTGGCAGCAGCATGAGGAGTCGGTACGGGGGCCCATGGCAGATTACGGGCCTGGCAGCAGCAATGGGAGGCCGTACAGGGACCCATGACACACTCTGGACCTGGCAGCAGCATGGGGAGGCGGTACAGGGGCCCATGACAGATTACGGGCCTGGCAGCAGCATGAGGAGTCGGTACGGGGGCCCATGACACACTCTGGACCTGGCAGCAGCATGAGGAGGCGGTACAGGGGCGCATGACAGATTACGAGCCTGGCAGCAGCAACTTGGACAGGAGGACGTTCAGCTTCTGCACCGTCGGGTGCGTGCTCGCAAACTGTTGTCTCTTGGAAACGGATTCCAAGAAAGACTGCTGACGGAATCCGTGAAGAGGAGTAGCAGGAGAAGGAGCATCTGAACGAGCGGAATATGCCAACAAGCAACAACAGGGGCCCTGACAGATTACGGGCCTGGCAGCAGCATGAGGAGTCGGTACGGGGGCCCATGGCAGATTAGGGGCCTGGCAGCAGCTATGGGAGGCCCGTAATCTGCCAGCACCCTATGACAAAAAATGGAACCCACCAGCAGTGTGAGGAGACCTGAAAGTGGCACATGGCAGAGTGTGGCAATGGAGACAGCAGCAATGGGAGGCCGTACAGGGACCCATGAGAGACTCTGGACCTGGCAGCAGCATGAGGAGGCGGTATAGGGGCCCATGGCAGATTAGGGGCCTGGCAGCAGCTATGGGAGGCCCGTAATCTGCCAGCACCCTATGACAAAAAATGGAACACACCAGCAGTGTGAGGAGACCTGAAAGTGGCACATGGCAGAGTGTGGCGATGGAGACAGCAGCAATGGGAGGCCGTACAGGGACCCATGAGAGACTCTGGACTTGGCAGCAGCATGAGGAGGCGGTATAGGGGCCCATGGCAGATTAGGGGCCTGGCACTGAAAGTGGCACATGTTTGAGGCATGATTCATGGCGGATTTAGTCAGTTGTGTCAGGAACTGGTGGTTTGAAATCCAGACTAATCCACGCCTGATTCATTTTCACAAACGTGAGTCTCTCCACACTTTGGGTGGACAGTCGTGTCCTCCGCGGAGTTACAATACCTCCTGCCGCACTAAACACGCGCTCCGATGCCACGCTACTGGCCGGGCATGACAGCCTTTCAAGGGCAAATTCAGCTAGTTGGGCCAAAGGTCAAGTTTCGTTGCCCAGTAGTCAAGGGGATTGTCTACCTCGGTTGGCAGGGTGCTGTCCAAGTAGGCCCAAGCCTGTTGTTTGAGGTCCTGCTCCAGGTCCACCTGCTGCTGCTGCTGCTGCTGCTGCTGCTGCGGCTGGTTAGTAGTTTCCTCACTGCGCTGGTGAAGAAAGCTACTCATCATCGACTGCAGACTGAGGCAGCCGCTGCTGGTGGAGCTGCCACTGCTCCCACCACCCCACCCCTCCCCTGCTGCCATGGCAGCGGAACGCGAGCGCACAGGGCCCACAGTGTCTGAGGATGGACGTTGGCGCACAAAGGCAGAGACCAACTGACTACATAGGTGGTTTTTATAGTACGTTATTTTGGCCTCCCTCTCAGCAGGTGTGAAAAAGGCCACCATTTTTGAACGGTAGCGAGGGTCCAACAAGGTGGACAGCCAAAAGTCATCCCTCTGTCTGATGGTTATTATTCGGCTGTCGCTACGCAAGCAACCGAGCATGCTATGGGCCATTTGTGCCAAGGAATGCGAGGGACTCCCTGCCTCCATCTCCACAGCATACTGCCACGGTGCGTCTGGGTCCTCTGTCTCCTCCTCCTCCTCCTCTACCAGATGCTCCTGCTCCTCCACTCCTGTCCGCTGAGTGGAAAAACCACCCATTTCACTCAATAATTTTCCTGAGCACAAATGTCCTCCTCTACCTCCTCCTCTTCTTCCTGTCCTGCCCCCACAGGGGTCATGTGGCGTTGAGATCTGTGCGCCACGTCTACCGCACCCTGACCAGCCATTGTTAACAGCATTTGTTCCAGGACGTGCAACAGAGGAATGACGTCGTTCATCCCATAGTCCTGCCGACTCACGAATAGCGTGGCCTCCTCAAAGGGCCTGAGCAAGCGGCAGGTGTCACGCATGAGCTGCCAATGGCTGACATCAAAGTTACACAGGGGAGTACCTTTATCCGCTTGTAACATCAGGAAATCGGTGATGGCCTTTCGCTGTTCGTAAAGGCGGTCTAACATGTGTAGGGTTGAATTCCACCTTGTTGCAACGTCGCAGATCAGGCGATGCTGTGCAATTCCGTTCTGCCGCTGCAGCTCAAGGAGGGTGTGCTTTGCGGTGTAGGAATGGCTGAAATGCATGCAAAGTTTACGTGACATTTTAAGGATGTCTTGCAGTGGGATGGTGGATTTTAGGAACCGCTTGACAACCAGATTGAACACGTGAGCCATGCATGGCGCATGGCACAACCTTCCTTGACGCAGAGCAGACACCATGTTCTTTCCGTTGTCGGTCAACATGGTTCCGATTTTGAGTTTGCGCGGAGACAGCCATCTGTCGATTTCTCTGTTCATTACACTGAGAAGTTCCTCCCCTGTGTGACTACGTTCGCCAAGGCATACCAGGTGCAGCACAGCGTGACACCGTTGCGCCCTGCACATGTGATATGCCGGTCGGGTAATGGGACTTGGCACGGGGGGGGGTGGCGGCTGAGGACACGGCGGAAGAAGAGGTGGTAGAGGCGGACATCTTTGCCGGACCAAGGACGTGCAAACGTGGAGGCAAAAGCGGCGTGACCTGTCCAAGTTGCTGGTGCGGCTGTGACGGCACCACGTTCACCCAGTGGGCCGTAAATGACATGTACTGTCCCTGACCGTAGTTACAGCTCCACACGTCGTCGGCGCTGCCGTGCACTTTGGCAGAGACCGACATGCTCAAAGACTGGCCCACCATCTCTTCTACATGTGAATGCAGGGCTGGCACTGCCTTTTTGGCGAAGAAATGACGGCTTGGCACTCTCCACCGCGGCGCGGCACAAGCCATCATTTCTCGGAAAGGTGCTGAGTCCACCACTTGGAAAGGGAGGGACTGCAGCACCAGCAACTTGGACAGGAGGACGTTCAGCTTTTGCACCGTCGGGTGCGTGCTCGCAAACTGTTGTCTCTTGGAAACGGATTCCAAGAAAGACTGCTGACGGAATCCGTGAAGAGGAGTAGCAGGAGAAGGAGCATCTGAACGAGCGGAAGATGCCAACGAGCGACAACTCCCCTCAGCAGAGGTGTTGGAGCCTTGACTGGCTGATGGAGGGCGATTGACGTCGGGTGACGGAGCAAGTAACGGAGCGGGTGATGGAGCGGGGGCTGGGGCGGGCAGAACCGCCGTATCTTTATCACGGTTTTCCCAGGCCACCAAATGGCGACGCTGCATATGCTGCTGCCGCAACGCTGTAGTCCCAACATGGGCCCCCTGGCCACGCTTGACTTTCTGGCCACATAGTCGACATACGGCTACGTTTACTTCCTCGGGCGGCTTGACAAAAAAAATTGCCACACCGCCGAGTAGGAAACTTTGCCCCCGATACTCCTCACTGGCTGACTGCTGCTTCCTCCGTGCACACCGGCACCACTACTGGCCGTGGTGGTAGGCTGCAGTGGAGCTGGTGCTCTACTCCGTGGCCGTTTGGCTCCACTGACACTGCTGCGACCCTGCTGCTGTCTCCTGGGCAACCCACCGACTGTTTCGCTCGCTGCCAAGCTGCCACCCTCTTCTCCTGATGATGCGGAAGAAATTGCCTGATGACGACGAGGCTGCCAAGTGCGATCAACCTCCTCATCATCAAGTAGGGTCTCCGCCTCACTACTAGCCCCCTCGGCTGCGTCTGGGAGGAGGAGACAGACCTGTCTCTAGACCGGCTACCGAGCCACTCTCCTCGCCACTACTTCTTCGCCTGGCTGCTGAAAAGGCGGATGTCTCCCCCCGTTCCTGACCGCCCTCTGTTAGCTCTTCCTCACTGTACAGTGGGGCTGAGCCCACAGCATGCGATACTTCGCTTGGTGAGGGAACACCAAAGGACAGGGGCAGGTAGAGGACACGTGATTTCAGTGGGCTTGGTCCCGGGCCATGCCAACTAACGGTTGTGTCTGACGTACCCCCACCGACCGTTGGCTGTAGGTGTCAGAGGTGACCTGGGAAGAGGAAGACGACCGAGCCAACCAATCGACGACGGCAGGGTTGTCGGTGGAGACACGACCGCTGGATGACACCGGGAGCACTGGCCTCTGGCTGCGAATAGTGCTGCCTCGACCCCTTCCTCTGCTGCCACGTCTGCTCGCTCCTAAAACATTGCCTCCTCTGCCACTCCTCTGCATGTTGTCTGACATACTCTTTAATTCAACGATTCTGTGTCCCTGAGTAACAATTCTGTGTCCCTGAGTAACAATTCTGTGTCTGTCCCTGAGTAACAATTCTGTGGCCCTAAGTAACGGTTCTGTGGCCCTCAGTAACAATTCTGTGTCCCTCAGTAACAATTCTGTGTCCCTGAGTCCCTGAGTAACAATTATGTGGCCCTAAGTAACGGTTCTGTGGCCCTCAGTAACAATTCTGTGTCCCTGAGTAATTCTGTGGCCCTAAGTAACGGTTCTGTGGCCCTAAGTAACAATTCTGTGTCCCTCAGTAACAATTCTGTGTCTGTCCCTGAGTAACAATTCTGTGGCCCTAAGTAACAGTTCTGTGGCCCTCAGTAACAATTCTGTGTCCCTGAGTAACAATTCTGTGGCCCTAAGTAACAGTTCTGTGGCCCCAGTAAAATTCTGTGTCCCTGAGTAACAATTCTGTGGCCCTAAGTAACAATTCTGTGGCCCTAAGTAACAGTTCTGTGGCCCTCAGTAACAATTCTGTGTCCCTGAGTAACAATTCTGTGGCCCTAAGTAACGGTTCTGTGGCCCTCAGTAACAATTCTGTGTCCCTGAGTAACAATTCTGTCTGTCCCGAGTAACAATTCTGTGTGGCCCGAGTAACAATTCTGTGGCCCTAAGTAACAATTCTGTGGCCCTCAGTAACAATTCTGTGGCCCTAAGTAACAATTCTGTGCCCCCTAAGTAACAATTCTGTGGCCCTAAGTAACAATTCTGTGGCCCTCAGTAACAATTCTGTGTCCCTAAGTAACAAGTTCTGTG